AAACATATGCATGTAGGAAATTGATTGGTCCATTTCCTTATGCATTTTCTTCTGAACCAATCAATTTCCTTATGCATATGCATATGCACCTATGCAAATTTGTCTGGCCCAAAAGTTTCACGTAAATTCGACGAATAGAATTGTCAAAATTCATATAAAAGTTTTCATTTTACACGTTTCTACATTTCATTCAATAAAGTTTCATGCTAGTTGTTTCTTGCGTCTTAAATCCGGCCACCGTGCTGTCGCTGCAGTCGCTGCATTCCTGTTCTTTATTGCTAAACTTTCTGCACTAGTGTACACTAGTGATACCGAAGCGTCCTTCATTATAATGAGTCTTGAAGGAGTGGGGATGGACCACTGTGGAAAGAGAGAGTTTAATATTGCCAGGGAATATCTGTCTCATCTGTACCAATACGCGGTATAAATGTAGCAGAAGTATAGACACCTCCCGGCTACTATTGCTCTTCTTGGCCCGAAAACTACATATTGGCATAAATCCGTTCTTTATTGCAGTGCAACAAAATTCAGTGCAACAGTTGAAAACTGTGCTCGTTGCACTGAATCTTGAGGAAGGCAAGCAGTGCAAGAACCGAATAAATTGATAATGGTGGGATGGATAAACTTCTGAAAAACTATAACCTCCGATTTGGCTGATTTTCAACTTAAATACTTATTTTATCTAGTAAATAATATTCCCAAATGGATTTTTGGTGCAAATGCCCCCTCCGCCCCCAGCCCTCTTCAAAGATAAAACTGTTTTTGTTAATTATTTCAGAAAGTATTCATTGTACGGAAAAAGTTGTCAAACAAAAAATGAAGCTCATAAAAAACTCTACAAATAAGGTCCTATACATATTTTACCTAACCTAACCTAACCTAACTCAAATATTTTAGTCATTATAAAAAACTTAACTTTTATCAAAAGTTTTTGGAGAAAGTTTTGTTTTTGTTTATAAAAGCTAGCTTTATATATAATAATTCTTTTATGCTGTTATATACATAAAATTATATTTATTAGTAATAAATAATGGTAGCATTAGATTTATATTTTCTTGATCTGAAGAGTCTAATTCGTTTAATATCGTGAGATGTACCATGTTGATCATTGCACTAAACATTCTTTATACTTGCTTACACTAGCTTGTTCCCGCTTGCACTAGCTTATCCCCACTTGCACTAGCTTGTCTCCACTTGCACTCAGTGCAATGCATTGGTTCAGTTCAGTTCAGTGCAGCAATAAAGAACAAACCTAGTGTAAACATTCATGTAGTTGATATAAGTGTCTTTATTTGACTGAAAATCGTGTTTACGTGGTGATAATAATGAGTAGTAAACGTGAACACGAAGGAAGTGACACAGAAGATGGTTGGATTGGACCATTACCTTCGGAAGCTGCACCACAAAAGAAGCAACGAGGTTTTCTTTTATAATCAATACTACTTAGACTGATTTTTCATTAATAAATGTGTTAATAAAAATCTGTATGTCTGTTGCGAATATTTTGATTTATTTTCTATTGCATAATTTATTATACTAGAACGAACATTAATGTTAAAATCTACATTTTCTTTACTGCGATGCATATGATATAAGATTCTAAAGATGAATAAACAATGAATAATGTAAAACATAGATACTATTTATTTATTTTATATCATATTGATATCTGATTCTAAAGCACAAAAATGAATAAAATGTATATTTAAAAATTCTACACCATTTTTTTGTTTAAAATATGAAATTTCAATCGCAGTATAGAAAATGTTCATTTTAAAGTTCTAACCTATTAAATGTTATGATATAAAATTCTATTCTATTTATTCATTTTTATGGCTTAGAATCTTATATTGATTTTAGAATCTTATATCACATTGATGTAAGATTTTAAACTATAAAAATGAATAAATGTGTAGAATTTTAAAATGTACATTATATTAATTTTTGTGCTTTAGAATCTGATATCAATATGATATGAAATAAATAAATAGTATGTATGTTTTACATTATCATTGTTAAATATTTCTAAAATTTTAGTCTTGGAGTATGAACAAGTCTATATAGATAACTTACCATGTTGCGAATGCTATGAGAAGTCTTACATGCACAGAGATGTTATTACTCATATTTTAGTAACAAAGTTAGTATTTTATAGAAATAATAGTCATAATGATACATATATTTATAGTAGTTTTTCTTTACAAAAAACTTATTGAAATGTATTATATGTAACAGATCAAACTTTGTGATAACTGCTAGTTGCGATGGACATATAAAATTTTGGAAGAAACAAGAGGAATTAATAGAATTTGTAAAACATTTTCGGGCACACTTAATGGCAATACAGTCAATGTCTGCAAGTTGCAATGGTGTTCACGTGTGCTCAGTCAGCATAGATAAAGCTATGAAAATATTTGATGTTATTAATTTTGGTAAGGATGACACTTTACATATGTGATTCTTATTTGAAGTATTTGCAGGCAGTATATAAGCAAGTATTATAATTTGTTATGTTATATAATTTTTTTAAAGATATGATAAATATGATAAAATTGGACTTTGTGCCACTTTGTGCTGAATGGATATATTCAGCTGGTGATGCCATATCTGCTGTGGCAGTGTCTTCACAAGAATCGAACAAAATATACATTTATGATGGCCAAGGAACAAATACACCCCTACATATATTTGAAAAACTGCACACTAAACCTGTTGTCATTATGAAAGTAAGTATATTATAACAGAAAAGTATAAAAATATTAATTATTTTAACGAAAACAAAATAAAATAATATATTTTTTGCAGTATAATCCTGTGTACGAGACGTGTATTTCCGTCGACAGAGCAGGAATATTGGAGTACTGGACGGGTCCAAAAATGGAGTACAAATTTCCTAAATGTATAACATTCGAATCAAAGTTGGACACAGATCTGTTTGAATTTGCCAAAAATAAAACTTACCCGTGCGGCTTAGCGGTCTCGCCTGATGGCAAACGATTTGCATCCTTCAGCGGAGATAGAAAAGTTAGAGTTTTTAATTTCCGAACAGGCAAACTTTATAGGATATTCGACGAGACGCTACAAAGATTTAGCGAGTTACAACAAACTGTACAGCAACTACCGAACATGGAATTTGGACGGAGGTAAAATATTTCCACTTTCTATTCTTTGATCTTTTTAGACTAATTTCGATCTTTCCAGCGAATAAGTATTAATTATTTTTATTATACGTTGCAGAATGGCGGTCGAAAGAGAATTGGACAAAACCGAAACGAATTTGGGAAATATCATTTTTGACGAATCTGGTTATATTATTTTATATCCTACAATGCTGGGCGTTAAAATGGTGAATCTTTATACAAACCGTTGTATTAAAATTATGGGAAAGCCGGAAAATATACGACCAACACAACTAGCATTATTCCAGGTATTTAGTAAACGTTTGATAATTAAAGTTTTAATAAGCAGCGAATACGTGATTTAATAATATGCAGGGAAAAGCGAGGAAAACAACTGCTGCGTTAACTGTCGAAATGGAGGCTTCTGAGAATCCCACGATGGAGTTGAACCGGCCTGACCCGACGTTGTTTTGCACGGCACACAAGAAAAATCGATTTTACATGTTTTCGAGACGAGAACCCGAGGATACGAAAAGTCAGGAATGCGATCGGGATGTCTTCAATGAAAAGCCTTCTAAAGAAGATATTATATCTTCGACGGAGGCCACGAATATGCAAAAGATATACGACACGGCAATCATTCATACAGCGCTTGGCGATATCCACGTCAATCTCTTCGGCAAGGACGTACCCAAGACTGTGGAAAATTTCTGTGTACACGCGAAGAACGGTTACTTTAACGGTCACATATTTCATCGAATTATCAAGGGCTTCATGATTCAAACAGGCGATCCTACCGGGACCGGCACCGGCGGTGAAAGCATATGGGGCGGCGAGTTCGAGGACGAATTCAAGCCGAACTTAAAGCATGATAGACCGTATACTTTGAGCATGGCTAACGCAGGAGCGAATACGAACGGTAGCCAATTCTTCATTACATTGACACCAACGGTGAGTATCTGATATTTTTGGGATACAGATCAAGATTTCAAATTTCACACTTAGTGCAAATATTTTGTTTGCTTTTTAGCCTTGGTTGGATAACAAACATACCGTGTTCGGCCGAGTCCATAAAGGAATGGAGGTTGTACAAAATATTAGCCAAGTGAAGACGAATCCTAAAACTGATAAGCCTTACGACGACATACGAATAGTCAGCGTGACTGTAAAATAGTTTTATAAAATGAATAAATCAAAATACATTTGTACAAAATATATCGATACACTTTCCTTCTTCCTGTTTTGCAATCTGCATCCTGGACGTTCTGACAATCCTATTTTATTTCTGCTTCATTTGATACATCAATCCTCTGATGAAATTGTATGCTCCCGTGCCGCATGTGAATATGTTGACGCTGAACAAATTATAATTCTTGGGTATTATTACCAATGAGAATCTAAAAGATTGCGCAAATTAGAATTCGAATCGTCGTAAAATTTCTGAATAAGAGCGCCATGAGTTATGTACCTGGACCATATAGCCCCTGTAAGCATAAGACTCGCGGTTTGACTGAGAGAAATTGTATCCGGAGGTCGTTTAACATCCCCTATGCCTGCTAGTACCAAACCCCATTTAAACGACGGCGCCCAGAAAAATACAGTAGTCGGGCCTGAGAAAACGGCAAAAAAAACTCTTAAACTTTTTTAACAAACTTTTTCAACAAACTTAAAGGCGACCCTTTCTTTAGAAAAATTTAAATCGAATAGCTTCTTACCTGCGGGATGTAAAAACACAGCACGGAATTTTTCAGGCAGCGTCGAAGCAATTTTCAACATTAATCTCTGATAAGTACTAATTTTTCCGGTCATATTTCGATTTACACGATTACGAAAAAAATATACTTAATAATATACTTTAACGTAAATAGCTTTAAAACGTTTCATAAAATTCATAACAAAAATCTGTACAACAAATAAAATTGACACATCTATATACCCAGCAAACACTGAATTTAACTGCAACATAACATGAAAGTAACATGTAATGTAACAGATGTTACACGGTATTTATATTACATTAATATAAATTTCTTTTTTAGGCGCAATATAATAGCTATTTCATAGCTGTTACATTGCTTTGTTAGCTTCTCGTTATTTAAAAATAGAAGTAATATAACATAAATATAACATATTATACAACAAATGTTATATTGATTTTATATTAATGTTATGAAACCTGTCATATAACAATTATTTTAATATTGGTAAAGAAATTGCTATGGCTATTCTGCATAATTACCGAAATTTGTATTATAATG